CTGCTTCCCCACAAGACCACCTTCCGAATCACTGAATCTTTTCCAAATCGATTCGAATGCTTTAAATTGATTCAGAGCTTTTAATGGGTCTCCCGATTCAATTTGGATTCAATGATTCAGTTGCCAAATTGGGCCAAATCTTCTCCAAATCAAATCGGCAACCGAAGCTTCACAAACCCCTACTGTGCAGTCAGCGTCTCGTGTAGATGTGCCCAGTAAGGATCATTTCATCTTAATTTAAGTAGAAGAATGTTAATACAATGATTGTTTCTGGCCTTAATATAAAACACTTGCATATATAGAGATAAGATTATGGCTAACTCATGCTTGGAAGTGCAATATCACCCACTTTGATAACCCAAGTCATTTTTGCATAGCTATGATGAAGAAGGATACATTCTAAAATTGTGCTGGACTAAAAAATAATACATTTTAACTAATAGTATCCCCTAATATTATCGGTATGAAAGGGGTTATAAAATAACCAATAATCCCAAGAGTAATGGAGAAACTGTTACAGACTTTCAGACATAATGTGCTATCTGGTCAATTAGCATCTGGAATTACACAGTAGCCTATTCTCAGCACCTGGAATCCAGTTTTAAGTGTTCAGAGGAGGCTAGACTTAAGTTAGTAATACCAAGCACTTTACTTCCAAGAGACAAAGGGAAACAATAGGTTTGTAGGCACCTATATCTAGATCAGATTAACTAGCTCTGAGTGCCAAAAATCCAAAAAAAACCCAAGGTAAGGCCTATAGATGGTGGCCTGAGGTTTGAATTCTTTTAAAATAAGAGTTGTTATAGGTCTGATATGGTGTCACAGTAGGTTTGATATGATGTCTGTTTTAAGAGGCTTCCAAAGAGACTAAATTTGAATGAACTGTAAATTGGGACCTCTCAATCTTGAGTCAGGAATCTAAAAGAGCAGCTAAAAGTAGCAAATTCCCTTCCCCTTTTCCCCCACCCAGCCTTTACTAGTGCTAGGACTGAATACAGACATTCAGGGAGGTTAGATGGAGTTCAAAAAAGCCACCAAGTTAAAAATAGCCACCTGATCTAAGGTAAGTCAGGATGATGAGGGTTAGCAGGGGGGTGGCTGGGAGAATTGGGGGTTGGCAACCAGGCTTTGTGGGGGGGGGGGGCAGGAGGGGTCTGCAGGACAGTTTGATGGGATCAGGGGAGCTCACAGGGTCCATAGAGGGGTTTGGGGTAGGGCGGGAGGTACCAGGGGCTACCCTCCCACACCTCCCCTCACCAGGACTTACTTCCTCAGCTCCTGGCATCAGTGAGTGCTGATAAAACATAGCTTGTGGGATGTGAGTTTGGCAGACTCGGGGGTGAGGGAGGGTGGAACTAGCTGGTCTGTGGTAGGAGGGCAAAAGGCTGGGGGCTTAAAATAGCCCCCAGTGCTGAGGGGCAGGTACAAAAAGCTCAGCCTTGGGGCTGGGGCTTGCAACTGGACTTTTCCAGCCCTGGGGCTGCACAGGAAACTGTACAGAATGTCAGGAAAGTTAGATCTATCTAAGAATGGCCAACTCTACCTAAATTAAACTACCTCTGAAGTAGGGTTAACTTAGATCTGGTTGGCCATTTTTAGACTACTCTAACCTTTCTGGAACTTCTGTACAGTTCACTTAAATGGACCTAACTAGGGCTCTCCATGTAAGGTCCGCACCTGGGTGAACCAAGTTAGATTGGGTGGCCACTTTTAATGCAGTCTAACCTCCTCCTAACTCCCCCCAAATGTCTATATGCCCCCTAGATTGGTGTTTAGAGATGTGGATTCTATTCCCAGTTTTGTTATTGGGCAATCTTGGACAAGCATCTTAATGACAAATATAGAGAGTCATATGGACACTCTTTATAAAATACTGTCATCTGCTGATTAATGCATTACACAAGGGTGCGGCATTATTACTACCATTGTCATGAACATGGGTCTAGGTTATGTTGATATCCAGAATCAGAAGGATAGGAATAATCCTAGAACTAAAAAGGAAGGAAGGGTAAATTGTATGGTAAACTGCAAGAGAGGGATAAAGTAGCTAAGAGTTTAGGGATTATGAGAAACAAATAGATACCCAGATGATGGGGAGAGTAAAAAGAATCTTAATAAAAAAAGACAGACATGTTAGTGTGAAGTCAAGCAGAAGACAAGGCAGGGTAGTACCATATAGATTATCTCATTCAGAGAGGTATGACTTTTTGTAGGCTATTAATCCATGTTATGAATTCACAGCATCTGACAAAGCAGGCTGTGGCCTGTGAAAGTTCATGCCCTTAAAAATGAGTCAGTCAGTTAACCTCTCAGAATTAGTTAGGTGCCACCCCCTCTGCCTTCTGTATTGTATGCATCATAGCTTGGTCTGACAACAAGCTGGACAGTACTATCACCTGCATTTCAAAACACCTTTTTGCAGAGTCGAAGGTTCTGATGAACTCTCATTAATCAAGTGTCTTATTATACTGCAAATACATTCTGATTGCTTTTATCTATGAACTAGTTATAAGAGAACAGTGAAACATAACTTTTTTGAGAAGTCCTCATTTAAATGGTTTACATTCTCTTCTGTAATTTGAAAATATACTCTGCTAGCAGTAAATTACATTAAGACGCAGGTACATAGGATACGAAATGTGGATGGCAATTGAGTCTTCATTGTTTTGCTGCACAATGTACCCACATGAGTTCACTCTATCACACGCTACTATATTCACAATAGTAAATTTCTTAATTGTGGCTGATTTTTTCATGGAATATGCAGTAACAGATGTAATACAGAAGGACACACTTATAAAGGGGTGGTTGTGAATGATGTGCCTAATTTCCAGAAGTGATTTAGGTGCCCAAGTCATTTGAAAATAGCACTTAGTGTCAATCCCACTGATGTTCACTGCAAAGGGCTATGTTACTATCTGGGTGGCCTAAAATCAAAGTAACATCCTACGTGACTTAAGAAAGCATTATATCATGTTAGTGGCAAGGCTTTCTTAGGGCAATATCTTTTATTAGACCAGCTATATAGTTGGGACAGAGTTAGACAAGCCCAAGTATATAGATGGTCCAATAAGATATCTCACTAAAAAACCCTTGCTTCTTGCATAATTTCTGAACCATCATGATTACAGCATCACTCTTACACTACTATTTTACCATGTTGTAAGACTTTTATTTCAGTTCAAGATCAGTCTGCAACATGTCAGTCAGAGGGATATACGTGAACTACTACATCAAATAAATCTTTTTTTCCACTTTCTAAAAGAATTAGGTAATTTGTACCTGTACCAATGAATAAATACAATGACATAATAAAAGCATACAATAAGATGTAAATGGGTGCATAAATTTAGGATATATAGGCACACCAGTTGCACTGATATCAAATGATATTGATATAAGGTGCTATAATGCAACTGGTAGGTCTGATTGATTCTTTAGCAGTACAAATGTAGCAGTTTCATTCAGGGTCAAAGTGAACGTGATTTACCTCACTATATTGCTCTAGGGTCATGTAAATGTAACAATCTGATTGTAACTACTGGCATGTGCTCTCAAAGGGCAGCTCCTTTTCCCCTTTTAGAGTAGTGAAAAGGTTCACTTGTTCTCAACAGGCTTTCACCTCTGTATGTTCAGGGTCAAATTTCAAATCCAGATCAGGTCACACATTTCTTGTCTGCACTCAGCCACAAGTGGAGATGAGTCCTTGTCACAAAGCCACTACAGAACATGATGTCCCTCTTCTGTGAGGGAGCATCTATAAATAAAGTGATTTGAATGAACTCTGGAGAACCTTACACAGTGGCTATCTGCACTACATTATATACAAGCCAGTGTTACAAATTCAACTTTCAAACCCATAAACACCAACTGCGGGACCCTAGTCTCACATGGATGCCAAAGCTCCATGGAAGTAAAAAGAACTACTCCAAGTTCAATTCTCCCGGGTTTTGCTCTCCAATGCTAAATAAATGGACAGTGGTGGTGCATTTCTCTCTCTCAATAAATCTGTATTGGAACCAATAACCAAGGGACTTCTGTAAGTTATAGGACCACTAGCATGCATGTGTCCTTATAAATAGTGTCTTTTCTAAAAGCTGGCCTACTTTTCCAGCAAATTTTCCAATTTAAATATGCTACAGAGCAGAGACAAAATTTGAATAGTAATAATGGAAATGTTCTAGTTAAGGCATTTATTTAGGGGCAGTAAAAGCTATGACTATGCACCTGTTTGCTAGTATGGTTTGTAGCCCAACTGAACACAGCAGGCCTGATCTCCTGTTGCTGTAAGCTGGTGCAGCTTCACGGACTTCAAAGGAATCATGCTGTTTTACATCAGTTGGGAGTCTGAACCTATTTCCTGAAACCTGTTCACATCTACAGTTTCAGTCCCTATACTCTTCCTGGGTAATTCAATACAGACAATTCCACACAGACAGATGTTACAATACTGAGCTTAAGAAAAATACTGGTGAGCACCAAAAAGGTATCAAGTTATGTGCATTTAAGTCTTTCAGCTGTGTATGACTTAAAGCATCTTAGTACACACATGGTGTGTTTACATGTGTATTTCTGATTGCCTAAACTTAATGCACCTTTGCTTAAGGCACATTAAGGCGATTTAGGCTAATGCACATTAAGGTGCATTAAATTTAGGTATGAATAGGTAAGTCACATTAACTTATGTGCAGACATGTTAATGAGCATTAATACGGTGTTTATCCATTGATGCACACTGTGTTAATCCAAATTAGCATGTCTACATGTGCGCTTAGCTATTGACACCTAAATTTGATATTTGCTTTACGTGTAGAGATTTAAACATGCACCCTTAATGCACCTTAAAATGGTGATTTTAGGCTGAGCCTACTTAAAAGAGGCATTGTAGATGTACACACAGAGTCCATAAATAACACTGGTGTATGCATCCATCTCTGTAAACAATAAACATGTTAACCTGCTATTATAACACAACATTTGTTTATAGATGTTTTCCTTACCAGTCAAGTTCTTAAGGCCGAGCTCCCTAAGTCCGAAGTTACCATCCTTTCTGTAGTTAAGAAATATGGCTAAAGCATAACGGTCCTCATAGAGTTTTGTCCCACGAATGATGCGTAGGTTTTCCAGTGGGAGGTGCTCAAACTGATTCAAAGCCACCAGGACATATCCTGTGACTTCTCGGATAGACTGAAAGAGAGACAAACAAACGTGTTACCAAGGGTTCACGTTTTAATTAATTATATATGCCCAATTTGAAGTTGATAGTACACAATACTAGAATAAGAGATTTTGGTAGCTCAAGAGAAAAAATTGCAAAGTCTTTACTTCCAAATTAATGCTAAGCTTTTACATTGATGCTGTCTTATGCAGCAGACAGACAGTAAGGAGCCAGAGTGTTTTCTCAGCCAAAGAATGCTTTTTGAAACTTGTATCCCTGTAAATACACACACACTGGCTGCATCTACATAAGACACTACTGCACAGTGGTTACTGCACATTTATTTAGTACTCGTATAAGCAAGTACTAAATAAATGCGCAGTAACCTGAGTTACTGCACAGTAGCACCGGTGAATGCCTTTTTTGTGATGCTGCTGCTCAGTAGCCTAATACTACGGAGAAGTAGTGTCACATCACAGTTTTTGCTAGCATCAGGCTACTGTACAGTCAGTGTCTTTTGTAGATGCACCCACTGTGCAATGTTTTTGTTGAAACAAAGCTATATATTTCAGATATTAAAGAGGAATCTAGAGCAGCAGAAACAGCACGTCATGGACTGAACCCAGAATCCAGAGCCACCCCTCTTCAATAGAAACACAAGCCCGAGTTACAGCAGAGCTGGTCAATTCTGGATTGGCCTTGTCAGCCATCTTCAGACCCACAGATAAGGCAATCATGGAAGATAATCATCCTTGACTGCGAGGGATTGCCAATGATGATGAGAAATCTAGGGCAAAATTCTCTATGGATCATACTGTGGATATAGTCTTCTCATGCCACAGTCCAATTGACATTATTGCAAATACCAGAAACTACAGAACTATTGTGCTTTCACAAATAAACACAATTCTGATATCACCAAGTCTAATTTTCAGCCAAGAGGGGAATAATTATGGCCTTTTCAAGCTAAAGAAAGGGATTTGGGGTAAGAAGAGACTGCTATGACATCAGTACTATTTGGGTTTAGTGAAAACCTTATTTGCATTAAATTAAAGATCTTAATAGTATTTGAGCATATCTTGGACTAAAACCCAAGCAATTGTTTTTTGCAAAAGATGAGCAATTTGGACAATTAAGAAATCTGTTTTAAAAATAGCAGCTGCTTCTTTTTAAGTTCATTCAACACATTTCAACCAACTCTAATTGGTGCCAGCCTTTCATGGAAGTTGGAATGGGTATCTCTTTACACCTTCAGAGTTCTGTTGTGTTAGCAGGATACCCAAAGGGTTGTCTACATGCTATTTGTAAAATCAGGAGCTGTCAATTATTATCACTGTATGGTCTGTTTGGACTTTATGCAAAGACTCATCAGCATCATATATGGGGCTAACACAACTAGTTATACACATAAACAATATTACATTTATAATTAATAAAGAAAAGCAGCATGGATTTGTGAGACTAGAGGCAGATTGAAAAGTGTCAGTTTTATCGATAAGCAATTTCCCTGCTTTGTGTCCAAAGAAGCACAAACATTTTAATGGGGTTTGTATAAAAGTAACAAATATGTAGTAGACAAGAAGTGAGATGTTGGCTACTCAAGTATCACAAGAGGGTTCTTTTTATGCTATGCATTTCCTGGACTATTATTGTCCTTTTAAAGTCACATCCCTGTATTGCAATTGAAGTTACCACAAAAGCTCTGGAGCTATTTCAAGATTTGCTTGGCATCTAAACAGAGCACAGTGTCACTACAGGGCTTTGACGAGAGCTCAGTGAATTTAGTTAGGTTGGATGTATGGCTCAATAGCTCTATATTAAATGCAGAGCTGTATTATACCCAGGGACACTAGTTCCATTATAATTAGGAGTCTCCCAGCACTTTCAAGATAAAATTTTGCTTTCAGAGGTTTTGTTGAAATACCTTGCCTAAGCAAGGGCTCACACATGCTGTAGGTTTTTGGTGGCTAAAATGCAACATTTTGATGAGAATTTTTGACTGACTTCAACATTTAGAACATAGTCATCAGCTCCATTTAAATAAAAAAATCCTCCTCTCCAGCAAATATTCTATCTCGGTTTATTTTAAGAGAGATTTTTGAAGCAGCTCCTACTGGCTGAATCCCAAATAAGAGCAGGCTTGGATTTGCAAACTGACTTAAATTTTGGTACAAGCCATCTTTCTCTCTACTATCAGTGGATAAAGGTTCTTACTTCAAGCTTCCTCTACTCACTGCCACAGTGTTGGGTTATTCACTCAGCTGAGTATTTTTTGCAGCATCCAAACAAGATACAAATAATTCAGTTAAGCTACCCGCTTTAATAGTTTTCTTCTACTACTGAAACAGATGTCTCTGGGAGATGTCTCTACATATAGGGTGTGTGGACATGCAACACACCACTGTTAAGTAAATTACTTCAGCTTTTCCCCTATGGTAAGAAGAAAAGTACTGCCAGCTCTCCAAAGCTAGTTGCTTGACGTAAGCAGTTTCATAGCACTGCAACACCCCCACGTGATAACTGGATACTTCACTGGTGCCCCAGTGACCCTACTTTATTACACTGCTGAGAGCACCTTGCCAGCAGGTAAAGAGCAAGCCCATTTGCGCAAAAAGCTACCTCAGGATGAAATTGTTCATCAGAGCAGATACAGATGGCACAGCAGGATAACGTGCACAGGTATATAACTATTCCTCATTATTTGAGGATTTACTTTATCCTGGATTGGAGCCACTGACACCAAGGTAAAGCTATATGCTGTGTATCTGCTCCACTTTTATTCTGGAGTAAAATCAAATTACATCAAAGTAAACGTATGTTTCTGCATTTGTGGACCACCACATTCTTTTCTCTAGTCTGTGAGACAATTCTTGGTTTTATGGTGCTGTGTAGCGGGACCCAGTCTAGCTGCAAAAGAGCTTGTTTTCCACCTTGATCTCTGACTGGAATGAATGCTTGAGGCAAAATTTCTCCTTGGAATATGGCTGAGTTTCCTGAAAGTATAGTGCAGTTTGAGCTGGAATGTATTGCTCCCAGGCAGAGTGTTTACACATGCACCGGGACTGCAGCATATTGAACTGGGGTAGCACAGCCCCATCAGTTAGGGGGCCCCAGGGGTCAGCCTGCCAGCCCAGAACTGCTCCTGCCCAGCTCAACAAGCTGCAGAGGGGCTGGCTGGGACATGAGGGTGCTACAGTGTGGGGCTATCCAGCAGGCAGCTCTCAAATAGCTCTCTCACTTGTGCTCCAAATAACCCCAGTCACTGTATACATGTGTGTTATGGCAGAGTAAATAACTCCACTATAGGATAGTACTTGTATTTGGCACTACTATCCTATTTCATAGATTTCATAGACATTAGGGCTGGAAGGGACCTCGGAAGATCATCGAGTCCAGCCCCCTGCCAAAAGGGCAGGAAGTCAGCCGGGTTCATAGGATCCCAGCAAGATGAGCATCCAGTTTGCTCTTGAAGGTGTTCAATGTGGGCGCTTGAACCACCTCTGGTGGCAGGCTGTTCCAGACCTTGGGGGCTCGGACAGTAAAGAAATTCTTCCTTATGTCCAGCCTGAAACGGTCTTGTAGTAGTTTATGACCATTCGACCTCGTCATCCCTTGGGGCGCTCTGGTGAACAAACGTTCCCCCAGATACTGGTGGTCACCCCTGATAAACTTATAGGTGGCCATCAGATCATAGGTGGCTATGGCAGACTTAACTCATTTTTATTCCGGCCTAATGGGGGTGCATGTGTAGACAGTGATGTTTTACTACGGAGTTAATTAGCCAACTCAAAAATAAAGCATCTCATGTAGATGCACCCAAAAAGCATTACATTGAAACAAACAAAAAGGCATTGATTTTCACAGGTAAGAGAAATATAGAAAGGAAATACATGGTTAAATGTTTTTCCAAAGGAATTCTTAATCTTGTTCCAATTTACATTATCTAAGGGTACAAACCAATTTACCAATTTCTGGTATCATTCAATGGCAGTGTAATAGTTGTACCATGATGGCTTGCAGGTGTGCGTACAGGACACCGACTTAGATCCTAACTAATGTTAAGTTGATCCAAGTGCTGATCTATACAGACATTCAGAAAGGTTAGATTGGGCAAAAAAATGGCTGCCCTGATCTAGCTTTGGGAAGTAGATCAGGCTAGCTAATTCAAATATCTACACACCATTTGGAGTACAGCCTCAAGGCTGGGACAGACCAGTTGCTTGACCCAGCCCTATGGCTACACCTTTCCTACTTTCTACCTTGCCTTCCCCCCATTTCATCTAGGGCTAAAGTTGTAGCAATTTAGCTCACTTGAATCAAGCCTATTAAATATAATAGCTGACGTGCTCCCACATAGCAACTCCCTCTCCACTTTTGAAAAACTTGAAAGCTGTCTATCCATAGTTTATGATATTAGAAAGAAGTTGGGTAAGAAAATGTGTTGTTTTACATGAATTTTATGCAATTTGTAAAAAACTAAATATTTTCCAGACTGCAATTTTACAGCCTAACCTGGCCTTGAAGCCTGCAAAAATGCACAAGCCCAGGAACAGAGAGACAACATATTTGATTTTACAGTCATAATCCTCCCCTGTTCCCCTTTTTCTCTCAGAAAAGATCAAATTCCTTTACTAGCTTTCATGGATCAGCTGGCTTTTAATGTTATGCTGGTCAGTATGCAGGCTGTAATGTTGTCATAATTCAGCCAGAAAGAGTTTGTATTCAACTACAATAGTTGAACATAATAAGACCTCAACAGTAACCAGAGCCTGGGATTTACTGCTATTACTTGCAGTCCAAATCAGAGGATGACCCACAGTCCCTTGTATACAGGGTGACCATACATCCCAGTTTACCCAGGACAGTTCTGGATTTGAAAGGCTAGTTGGCAAAAATTAAAACCAGTCCCAGGATCTCAGGGGCATGGGACACAGTCTGGTGGGAAGACGCCATGGCACGATACACCAGACTGCATCCACGCCCCTGCCCATTGCCACTGTGTGTAGCAGTACCACTAACTTTGGTGGGG